AGAGAGAGAGAGAGATATCACAATGTTCTCCATCAAGGAATTTGAAGGACACTAAGCTCCTTTCATGCCTCCGAGATCCTCGATCCTAAGCTTGACGGATCGTGCTCCCATATTGTTAAGCATTCCCTCCTAGGAAAATTTAGATCTCATTCCCATAATGTTGGGGAACTCTATACCTCACGATTTAAGGATCTCGATCCCTCATCTATGGATTTTTGAGCTTCCCTAGATCCCGCAGTCCTTCTGATCTGGGGAGCGACCCTCGCTTTTGGTCCCGGTTACTGTGGTAAGTCATGCCTTCCACAAGCAATACAAAGAGGAATGGAGTTGGAGATCGCACAAGGAATGCACAAAGTTTTCAGAAGGGTTGTAACCCTCTCTTATATCACTAAGCACTTGCTCATCTACATCCATGGATGCTTCTCATTGGTCTGGGCAAGAGGTTTATATAACCCCAAGTATGATCCAAACAACATCCATTAAGGTCTCCACCCCCATTACTGCCTATATATGTTGTAGCCATTCCAAACTCAAGCCAATCATCAATGGCTCATCATTTTGTGGGGGTGGCGGTGTTTTTTCTAGTTTTTTTTAGTTTTTCCTTTTTTTTTTTTTGTTTTTTGTTTGCAAAGCCATTAGTGACACATAGGCCTTTAGTGACACATAGGCCTTGGTCCACTTCATGCATGCTTATTTTCACATGGACTAAGATTGTGATATAAGCCAAAGCAAATAGACACAACCCGAGAACAATATCCCGCCTTCCTCTGGGAACGGGTCAAAATAAGTGACTATAAGGGCACTCCACCCGACCTAGTAACCACAATCCACAAATGCCTTCTCAAATCATCCCAACAAAGACCCATGACCCATAGTCTAATGCAAGGGTTATGATTGGTTTATCAAAGTTGGCCAATAAACAATGGTACTGTGATCTCAAATTGTGGATTTCAATTCCTAGCCCCTTAAGAACAAGTCTAATACCTGTCACTACTGTTCAAGGGGGGCTTTTCCTATATATGTGACGTGTCCTTCTATATGGTTGCTTCATGATAATCCAGGCTGTCACATGTACATGCCATGTGGAAGTTTGTTGAGACTTTGACCCCCTCTTTAACAGGCCTACAACCGCACACAGGAGACCACACAGTTCTCCTAGCCTACAAACATCATCTCTAGGCATCTCTTCGATTTTAATAGGAAATGACCAATTGTAAACGCTTTTCGATAGTGCCACATGCTTAGGGGTAAGGGTTTTAAGACATAACTAGGGCCATAAACCGTCTAACCTTAGTTAGTCAACACACATACACTCTCACTGAAGTGCATAATCTACCATAAATATCATTTTACATGCTTTCACGGCCTTTAAAGGTCACAAAACCCTAATAGTAGCTCCTCTTCCTTTTCAAAAAAATACTCCCTAAAGATTTCTTTGGTGAAAAGCAATTATGTACTATTATTGTGGCAACCGTTTTTAGGTGTTCAAAAAGGCTACTTTCTTTTCTGCTGTTTAACATTTCGATGGAATCCTTATGTTCATTGCACTTGATTGTTACTTCAGCAATCAATAATGCTCTTTCTTTTTACTGCCATTGATGCATCGTTATTTGCATAAAGAAATTGTTCTGTTTCATATGTTGTCATGGAGTTTCATGTGTTAGATTTTTGTAGTTCCGAGTTGAATGCCTCATCAATACCACTCATTGTCCAAGTGGATTCACTCTAGACTTGTATTTCCTGAACCATGAGACACTATAATTATTAAGTTGTTCTGATGTGGTGGACATGTTCTGATTATCTTTCGTCAGAGGGTTAACAATCTTGATATCATATGAAACTGGTTCTAATTAGTTTTTGAAAAATAAAACAAAACGATTTGGAGCTTAGTCATGATGAAATCAAAGCTTTACTTACTATAGCAACTATGATGGCTTGAAAGGAGGTTGCTGTGAAGAAATTCTTGGATCAGGACATCTCAGGATATGCATTGGAGCAGTTCAGATATGAAGTATGTACTATAAAGATGTCAAGAACTTCTTATGAAGACTTTTGACTCTTTGTCTTGTACCTAGATTATTTATGGGAAGCAACATTTTGACTAGATGGGTATCAATGGCATTTACAGGTAAACATCATGCTACGATTACGCCATCCAAATGTGGTACTCTTCATGGGAGCTGTTACGTGTCCTCCTAATTTATCAATTTTAACGGGATTCCTTCCAAGGTATTGTTGTACTTTTGCCTTTCCATTTTGGCTATTGAGTGCTTTGTATAAGAAATTATCTTGTATTGATGTGGTAAGTTTTTGCATGCTGCATTACTTGTAGAATTTTTTTAGAATTTGTTCATATGTCAAGGTTTAAGGGATAAAGCTTATATTTTTAGAATCTGGTGTCTATTCACTTACAAATTTTTTTCAAAAAAGCTAACTCCCATTCTACTTGAAAAAACGGGTAGGGGCCTGTCTTCCCCACTGAATTACCTAAACAATAAATAAAGTTTATATTTTAAATAACTAAATGTACATTAGAAATTTATTGAAATCAATAAAATTATCTATGCAGTTTTTTATACCATAATTGAACATAAATAAAATTAAGTTTTAAATATCAGGATTGGAACTCAAAAGGCTATAGTCCTTGGAAAGAGCACTTGTTGGATTGGGAAGCTTTTGAAGTATCATCGAAACATAAGTATAATGGATACTAGACCAAAATTTGGTTCAGCTATTAAATCTTTATTTATATTGAATTGTGACGGAAGATCACCATCAAATATCCCAAACATGGTGACACTTTCTACTTTTATCGTACAACTTTAAATATTAGAGTTAGTATCATTTTTTTTTTAATCTTTGTGTCATTATTAGAGGCCAAAAATTTCATAGATAAGAACTTCAATTTTCTTGCACTATCGTGAACAAAAAGGAAAAGTGAGGGAAATGTCCATTTTTTGCGCCCTTTTCAGTAGATTTGAAGCAGCCTTGGCCCTTGGGGTTGGTTGTCATGTGGTTTATTAAAATGTGTAGGGCCAAAATGATTCTAGAAAGCTAGCTGAAGTTTTTCCTCTTTGCTCCAAGGAGTGAGTCTTTATATGAAGCATTGTGTATGAGAATGTTCCCTGGTTGAGCGTTATAATTAATGAAAATGAGTAATCAATTTATTGTCTGGCCTGAACATGTGTCATGCACAATGTTACCAAAAGTCATGCGTTATACAACACTTCGAAACACAAATCCATATTATTTCTGTACAGTATGGATGGTGTAAGCATGTTGTATAAAGAGTAGAAGATAAATCCATTTTGCAGTATTTTGTAGGGTACATATATGTCTGATGTGTGGATAACTTGAAGTTGCATGTTGGTCTCTCTAGAATGTGTCAAATGTGCTAACCTTTGTTTCATTGGTCCATTGCTTAATAATAAATTCTGTTGCACTAAACTTGAACATAGGAACTAAGATATCTTCCGCATCACACTTGGTATTAATACTCAAGTACACTCTTTGCAGTTTTGTTCATGCAATGGAGATAGCAGCAATTTGTTTTGATACCTTGTTCTTCTGGTCTTCCTTTTTCATTTGTATGCAGAGGGAGTTTATACAGGCTATTACATCATCCAAATGTTCAAATCGATGAGAAACGTCGTTTGAGAATGGCTTTGGATGTGGTACCAGTTGATTGATTCTCTATTGCTTCTGTGAGTACAACTAACTACATACAATATAATGTATAACTTCTAAGATTATTGGTTGCAGGCAAAGGGAATGAACTACTTGCATACAAGCCATCCCACCATTGTTCATCGCGATCTGAAATCCCTCAATCTTCTTGTTGATAAAAATTGGGTGGTGAAGGTCAATCTCTTGAGCTATACTTTAAAAATTAGATAGCATTATGTATCTGCAATTTGCTGGCATTGCCCTCATATAATCTTGTTTGTACTATTTTGTACTTCATTCATGCCTCAAAGGCATTTTTTTCCTTCTTATTTTACGAAGTACCATAAATGTCTCATGGAGTTTCCATTTTTCATTCTAGAATGCTAGAATTTAGATTTGATAGTATTTACATCTGGATATTTGGCTAGCACTTCTTGCCACATGATTAATTAATCATTTAACATCCAACTGTTATCTTTGGATTCTGCTAGTAGGACCATGAAACTATTTTTATAATCGTTTTATCAACTCTCTATGGACTTTTCAAAAGATTGCTGTGAGCGAAATTGTTAAGTTTCATTGTCAGCAAACTTATTGCATGCGAAGTCAGGTAGGCCACTTTTGACCTCCCCTTTTTGCTTAACACCGGTCATCCTCATGTGAGTACCATTTAAATGGGCCTCCCCTTGTTGCTTGCCACGGGTTATCCTTACGTGAGACTACCATTTAAATGGGGGGGTAAAGTTTATATAGAGCCGAGGCTCTAAACAATCAAATTGGAGCCTACCTCAAAAATTTCACTAGAGAGGTTGTTTTGAAGCCCAAATATCCTCAAATGGATCATCTCGACATCAAGGTGCATGGACATGAGAAAAAATGGATTTCAAGTTTTGGAAATAGTGCATTTTGTAATGCATTTTTGGACCGTCAATTTTCAAGACTTTCAAGTTTTCATAGATTTGTTGATCTACACTATTTTGAAACTTTAAAATTTATAAATAAAGATGAAAATATATTTTAAGACTATCACAAAGATTTCCAGTAGTGAAACCACAGTCCTCGACAGTATTTGAAGGTAGGCTGTAATTTGATTGTTTAGAGCCTAGGATCTATACAAACTGCACCCTATATATATATATATATATATGTGTGTGTGTGTGTGTGTGTGTGTGTGTACATGCATAGTGCATCATTGTTTAAAAAGGGTTAGGACCAAATGTTTCAAAAAGAGGGAGCAACATACTCCAATAAAATTTATCTTATTTTATATAAGTGACAAAGTCACATCTCCCTTAAAGGAGGTATGTGGCACGAATAAAAGGGGGTGAGGCCCCTTGAAAGTGTGCTGACAGTATCCAAGTGAAGTCTGGGAACCAATTTGTCTTATTTGTCATATTAAGAATGGTACTCTCACCATCCTAGAGGGTGACACATGTTAAGCAAAAATGGGAGGCAAAAGTGACCTCCTAAGTGTGCATGCAAGTGAACCATTAGGTTCACTCGTGGCGAATTAACAAGTTCGCTCATGACGAACCTGGTTCTTGGTTGGACGGATGGTCCTTTTTTTGGCATTCTGATTTGATGGAGTAGCTATGTAATGATAGGAGCATAATTATCAGGATCAGCATCGGGATCGGTTTTGGCATCAGATCAGGAACTAGGGATTGTGAAAGGCTGGAGGGTCTCTAGGTTGGGGATCACTGTCCATGTATTCCAAATTTGGGGATCGAGATCCCAATATGTTGGGGAGCTCTATCCGAACTTTTAGGGTTTGAACGATAAGGTTTGTTAGAAATCAATGTCCTTAAGTCCGCTTAACTAGGGTTCCCTAGGATAGGAGGGCCATCCATATAATAGGATAAATGATTAATGAACTTTTAAAAAATTCAGAATTTTGGTATAACTGTAAGAATCCAGTCATTTTATAATAATTTGAAATTTTTTACTCGTTCTGAGTGTAGTTTAAGTGATAAGTTTTTTTAAAGAAATTGAAATTGCATTGCAAATTAAGAGAATTATATCATATAAAATATTTTAGTTGTTGTATTCTTTGAGTTTAGTTTATGACTCCATGTTATGTAACAACAATCATGGCCAATCTTCTTTGTTGAATTAAAAGAATTAAGATAAATATTAAGTTGAAGCTCAAGGTAACTCGTGACATGTTAAAAGGGCCCAAAAACACAATGTAGTACCACCATCGAAAATTATGGGTGTGAACCAAAGATGCTATTAACATGTTATATGGTACTTAAAAATGTTAACTAAATAGGCAAAATAGCTGAAGTCCAGAAGTTAAGCACTAAGGGAATCTTGTCCGCACATTGGTGGAACATCGGTTACCTATGAACCCTTAGATATATCTAAAGGAATTTGGATCCTGCATAACTCAAGATCCCTATTCCTTATGAGAAGAATCAAGGTCCCAATGAGTAAAAATCTTAGAGTGAGATCCCATCCTTGGGGTGAACCAGCGAGCTTATAAGTGGGATTCACCCCTTGGCTGGGATATCCCAGTAACTATGGACCGTAGGTGGGGCATGTCTGTTTTCTTGTTGGGTGTTGATGAGGGATTGAGGGTGTGTCAGTCTGTTTTCTTTTGTGGGTAATAACTCTTGGGAAATCACATGTTTATATGGTTGACAAAAATCCTTCTTAGTGTCATGCATAAGGGCTAAGCATGGTGTGTGGAACCTCCTTTGGCGATGGTTTGTGAAGGACCTGCAAGCCCTATATGGACTTGGTGCTAGTTTGGGTGATTTAGCTCTTCCTCCTTATGGGCCGGTTCTTTTGTGTGGTTTACTGACCATGAGTGGTAGTTTCCTGGTCGAAATTTGTATGTGTCAGGCACCATGAGCAATTGGAGCAAGTCATGACCCAAGGGTCCAAGTGGGTTGTGGCTGAGCTTCACCACCTTGGAGGCTTGGATTAGTGTCTTGGAGGCCAACTGCAAGGATTGATATGGCGCTTGCGATGCTCATAGGATGGCTAGTGGATGGGCCTCAAACCGAGAGTGCCTTTGAGTAAAGTCTCCGCCTTGCAAGAAGACGTGCGAATGCCTTGAAGGCGAGTCTTGTAGCCTTGCAAGAAGACATGGTCTTTGTAGAGATGGCCTTGTGAAACACCATGAGTAGCTTGAACTCCCATAGCTTGAGAATGCCATGGCTCAAGACGTTTGAAGGCTTGACGGCTAAATGTATAGATTGTTTTGAAGATGCTCACGCCCATTAGAAAGCTAGAGTTGGCATTTACTACTCCATGTATCGCACCGGAGATGCCAAACTTTGGTGGAGGGTATGAGTCAAGGACACTTCAAGACTTAAGGTTCGCACTTGGGAGGCCGTAAAATAAGAGGTAGGGGGTCAGTTCCTGCTAGGCAGTGCAGCTTGGGTGGCTCTTGAAGCTTTGTGAAAGATTCTATAGATGAGGTCTATAAGGGGGTATGCGAAAAATTTCAGCCTAACATTTGAACCATAACCAAGGAGGATTGGTTGGAGCAAACCCAGAGAGTGGAAGGGATGGTCTAGGGCCTCGATCAGAAGAAGGATGGATCCCAAGGGGAGATATTCGCAGGATTGCCAGTTGATGGTGATCACTTTACCACATTTGGAACCGATGGCCCTGAAAGAGGCTGGGTGCTAGGCTTGGAGCGGGATGCCGTCAATACGGAGCCAGACCTTGAAAGAAGGAGCCACGTCCAGGAAGGGTGTCCACTTGGCTAAGGACAAAGAAGCACCTTTGAAGCTACCGGAGGGGGCTTCGAGAGCAGCCAACTCCAGACCGACAAAAGAGAAGGTGAAAAGGAATCTGCCATTGGAGAGAGGGCGACAGGAGAGATCTCGGTCTCGCCAGAGGGATTGCGCCCATCTCTCGATGCCTCTCAGATCGTTCCTACAAGGTTTGAAAGAGCCAACCAGGGAGGAGGGGAGCTTAAGAGAAGACGAGGAGGAAGGAATAGGGGGGAGGGGTAAAAAGGAAGGGGGTAAGCCAAAGGGAGGAAGGGTTGGGGGAGGAGGGAGGGACGGGGCGGAAGAATTAGAGGGAGGGGGTTGAGTGGGGAGGGTGAGAGGGGGACAAGGCTTGAAGAGATGAGCATAAGAGCGATAGAGGGGAGGGGAAGAGACTACAGGAGTCATCAAGTTTGCTAAGTTATCTGATCTTGCATTTACTTTTAAGAATTAGTAATGGCTGAATGAGAACAGAGATGTTGCTTGTCTTCTCATTGCTTTTGGTGAATTGAGCTGAATCATTTCTCACTTCATTTACCATTGTTATGGTATTTGGACTTTTTTTGTATTTGTTATTTGTATGATGATCCAGACAGGAACATTGTTGTTTTTCTAGGTATTAATACAATTGTTTTGATGTCTCTCCTTGATGATAATGTTCTATTTTTGACCTATTTGGGTAATAATCATTTTGTGTATTTCTACACAACTCTATTATGCATCATGATAATAATTTCCATGGATTAGCAAGGTTCTGTTAGTGGCTACAGGATCTAACAAAATCATCATCATCATCATCCGAACTTTACCCTAACTATTTGGGGTCAGCTATACGAACTCTGTTCCTCTATTCCGCCTGATCAAGGATAGCCTCAGTCTGACCATAAATCACCATTTATTTTCTCACTACTTCCATTCATGTCCTTTGGGGCCTTTACCTTCCCCTTTTAGAGCCTTCCAGTTGAACGTATGCACCCCTTGACCGTTGTAATTCTAGATCGATGGTGCACATGACCAGTCCACCTAGGTCTATTTCCCCTTATTTTGTTGCCTATTGGAGCTACCCCCAAGTTCCCTAGAATGTATTCATATATAATCAGACAAAATATTGAGAGTATTTTTACATGTTGGGCTAATCATTTATTTTGAGTTGGTCGGCTTGGTTTCAAGGTTCAAAATCAAGACTCTTAATGCAAACCGGGAATGTTGGGCTAGTGCATCAACTGTATATATTTAATTAAATGAGAATTGAATAATGAGGAGTTTAGTGTTATATGATTTCACTGTAAATAATAACCGTTTTGCATTCATCAGTTCCTTTCTGTTGTTACCGTCATTATGTTTTACTTTTGCTGTTTTGCTGATGCATATAGTGCTTTCTTGGAGAAAGCAATTCGGAGTTAGAGTTTTGCTTCATGTGTTCAGGTATGTGATTTTGGCTTCTCACGTCTCAAGCATCACACATTTCTCTCTGCAAACTCTACAGCAGGAACAGTATGTGCTCCAACACAAATCCCTTTTGCATTTGCTTTTACTTTCAAATTTCTGGTAGGAGTTTAACTTTTTGGATGTCGATGTTTTACATGGTTTTGATGTTCCACTAAGGGTTTAGGGTTGAATAAACCTTGATGGGGTATGGTAATTCATCAGTTTCCTTGCAAGGTCAAAACATTTGGTGGTTAGTTTAAAATCAAAACTGAAATGAGTTTTACATTTTTTGAAATTTTAGTTAGTTTGCACATAGGTTTCTAATTGAGTTCACTTGGGACTTCACATGTCGCTGTGTAGTTTAGATTTCTTCTCAAATCTCTCAACATAGTTCATCAATTTTTAAGGATTTATTTTACGGAATTAGTTAAAACTTGTACCACGCATTTATCTATACTGTTGCTCTTGCGTGGAACTTAGTAGTGTCTTTTCTATGTATAATTATGGCACATTCTCTTCACAGCTTTTTTTTCCCCCATAGAATTTTCAGTTAGAGCTTTCGTCTTCTGAAAATTGTTGAAATGTTTTAACTGCAGCCGGAGTGGATGGCGCCTGAAGTACTACGAAATGAACCGTCCAATGAGAAGTGAGTACTCTGTATTTCAGCGGGGCAAAAAATATGGAAATTCCCTGCCCACTTTTGACATTTGCTCTTAAGTTCTCAAGGATAATTTGAGGTACTCTTTTTCCTCAGATGTGATGTTTATAGCTTTGGTGTAATTTTATGGGAGTTGGCTACAACGTGTATGCCTTGGAGTGGGATGAACGCAATGCAGGTTGTTGGTGCTGTTGGATTTCAGAATAGGCACCTCGATATCCCAAAAGAAGTTGACCCAAAGGTTGCCCAAATAATATTTGACTGTTGGCAAAGGTATGTACTTGCATTTATCTTGGTGAAACCAATCCTTTATGCGCTTGACAAATGTGCTTCCAAGTATTTTGGAGTATAGATGAAATTCTATGGGTACATTCATACTTCTAAGATAAAAAATATTTATTAAATAGAGAGCTTCCTTTTCCAATTTAATTTTCTAGTATATATTTCCACTTAATTACAAACAAAGATATGCATTGAAAGAAGAGATAGATTGAATTGGATTAGGTGGTAAATTACCATAAACTCCCACTTGTCAGGTTCATACTCAAACTCTGAAGTCTCTTCTTCTCTCTGTACGCAGTTGGTGCTATCCTTAATTATGGCTTAATGAGTGTAGAATAAATATAAACTTTTGAGTCATATGACAGAGTACACTATAGTTTGAAAGTACTCTTCTAACTTTGATTGGCACCTCAAAAATCAAAATGTTATTGACTGATTCTTGTACTCCAAATCGCCTAAATACTCTTCTTATAACCTCACTCAATTTCTAAGACAAATTGAAATCATATCCTCTTTTATTGAATATGATTAATTCAAAGACATTATATTCCCCTATTCACAAAAAGAATTATTTTCTTTTTAAGCACATTGATTACGGTTTTAGGAGAACCTTTTCTTTTTGGTTTTCAGGCGTGGGGTTTAAGGTATACATTGATCAAGTTGCTTTTGAAAACATTGGTGTTTTCACAAATCTATTTCAGTCTTCTTGGGTCAGGTTCATATCTTTAGAGTTTGTCTATAATAAATTGGTAGCATTTGTAGTGTCTTCTAAACATTTCACTCATAAAGTTGACATGTCATTTTCATGGTTATTTTATTTTCTGATTGCTTTAAGCATGTCGCTATTTATAGCTTATGACTTGGTGGCTGTTTGTGCCCATTCCATGCATGTGCGCATGTGTGCTCTGGAATGTGATGTGATTCTTTCTATCAATGGTTTCCCTTGTCTAAATTTGTCCTTAATACTTGTGGTAGTCTACTTCGTTTACTGCTCATTAGTAATAATGGATGATGCCTTCTGCAGTGATCCAGCTCTGCGGCCGTCTTTTGGGCAGCTTATTGCTCATCTCAAACAGCTGCAACGATTAAATGTAGATTAAATGTATGCACGCATGAGAAAATTTCAAGGTTCAGTCCTCTTAAGCAAAAGGGAAACAAATCTGTTGCTGTGATTTTCGCTAAACTTTTGTGTCTTGCCAACATAACAGTTGCAGAATGGACTGCATGAAGAGGGGAATCAAAGGGGTTCATCATGTCCTTTTCATTTGTTGATCTTTTTTGGTTTTTGATCGCCTGAAGTTTGGAGGCCAAGGAAGAGTGGAAACTGCCGATCCTGCAAAGGAGGTCCAAATACTTGAAATGTTCGTTTTCTATCCATTTTCTCGTCTGTGCGAAGTGCAGTGCGAGCGACAGCTGTTTTTCTTTTGTTGGGTGTTGAATAACAGATGATTTGTGAATAACAGAAACTTAATTATCTATTTATATCTGGGTGCGGTGGAGGCTTGGGGCCTTGGAATACAGTGAGATGTATATTCGAGAAAAGAGAGAAATGGGCAAGTGCATATCTGTAATTTCTGTGCAATTTTCCATTCTAGTTAACCATGGACGATTCCACCTGCTGCTTGTTCACTACAGAATACGTTTTTTTATGTCTATTTAGATTTGTGAAGGGCTTTTGCAAGGAAAACCTTTATATGAGGGTGATGTCCTCCACCATTAAATTAGTATGTGGTTTTGACGCTCAAAATCCTCAAATCGATTATCTCAAACTTAAGAAGTATGGACCATAGTTGGTAAGCCTCTGTTTAAAACTTGATTTCTTTCAAAAAATTGGAATCGGTTAAGAACTTGGAGTTTTTCAATAGATCTTCAAACAATCATGTTTTTTAGCAGAACCAATATAAATATGTATTTTATCTTTTTTCAAAAGAACTCTTCAAAAAAACCTCTTCCCTATAACCGATCTCTTCACTAAATGTTTACCAATGGGAATAACACAAGGATCTTGATTTAACAAAAACTTTAATAAAAAATTTCACCAATTCATTTTATAAAAAAATTTCACCAATTCGTTCTTTTAAAAAAAGTGTACGAAAAAATACAAGCAGTATATTCTAAAAAAACAAAATAAAAGTCAAAACAATTGTATATCTCAAAATGACATGTAGAATTAGGAGAGTAACTGAAAACTCTTTTTTTCTTTAAGCCTATGGCGAGATAAAGATTCAATGATACTAAAAATTTAGGTAGTTAGGAATTAGTGCGAGATTTTGAATTTGTTTAAATATTTTGTCATTTCTTTATGTATAAAGAAGTTTAATTAATTTTTATTTTTATTATTATTATTTTTTCATTGGTGTATACAACATAGCATTTTGGGTGGACCAATATTTTATAAATTTGGGTCATTGTGTTTTCTTTTAATTAATTGCAATCTTAGGGTGTTTTTTGTTTTTTTTTCTTTGAAAATTAATCTTATATCCTCATTCAAGTTCTTGTTATTTGTTAATTAGTTCTTGTATTTAGTATTATTTTTGTTGTTTCATTTTATGCTCCCAAAAAATTTACGATATGCTTTTGTATTGTGACTACGAAGCAAGCATTGTTGTCGGATTTATTGAAAGTTTCAACAAAAAATTGTAAAGTATTACTCTAATGACATTAGTAAGGCCATAAAATTATTATTTAATGGTTTTAATATATCTAAACAATAGGTCCAAATCATAATCCAATATTTGTGTTATCTTCATATATCCAATTTTTTCACTGCATTTTTTTTAACCAAAATTGATATTTATCATTTTAGAACTTATCTTATTTTTTGGCGATCCTTATTTTTTAAACGATTTTAAAATAAACCGATTTATTATCGATGTTCTGGTCTGCCGATATTTTATTATTCCCCGACTTATTAATTATGGTATGGACATGAGCAAAAATGTATTTTAAGTCTTGGAAATAATGCACCTTGTGACCGTTAATTTTTAAGATTTTCAAGTGATCATAGACCTGTTTGATTTTATACTATTTTTGAAGATTTAAATTTTATAATTAGAGATGAAAATAAATTTTTATGCCATCACAAATTTCTATTATTGAAACATCTTTTGACAATATTTAAAGGTGCGTCTTACTTTAATTGCTTAGGGCCTCAACCTTATACAAACCACACCCTTCAATTAATATCCCCAATATTGATAATGCTCTTGGATATTTCACTTCCCTATGAAGTAGACACAGTATTTAAATTAAGAAATGTATACAATATAACTGTTTACTTTTGGTAAGAGGAAATCGAAATCGAGTAGTAAAGCAGAGATGTTATTGATTGCCAACAAAGTTCAAAATAAATTGATTGCCAACATAATTTTTTTTAATATTGTGGCGCACTTTAATATGTAGAGTTTCACATCCACATTTTATAAAAATTAAATAATCTCCATATTATACAATCCTTTTAGATTGCATGTTATGACTATTGAAATATATCAAAGTTAAATACTTCGAATGAAATATGGTTGCAGTTATAAGGTATGTTTAAGTTATTAAGGTATTCAGCTTTTATTATACTACCATTCCAAATAAAACCACCTAATAAGATTTTCTTGAGTTAACACTCTTTGCAGTTCATGATTTTAAAATGAATTATATTTTGATCATGTGAACTGTTGATTATTCTTTCTAGCTCACTTTTCATGTGAGATGTGGAATAAACAGAAGAAATGAACTTTCAGATATTTTTGGTGGACAATATCTTACGTTTGTTATTATGTTCACAAAATGGTTTCTCCAGTACAACCTGTTTCTTTATAATAAGCATCATCCATTGGCATGGACATAGAAAATTTGCATAAAATTCTGTTTGAAAAATGAAGTTCTTCGAGGGTTTTTTTTTTTCTCCCTTTTTTTGAGTTAACATTTTTCAAAAGAGGCATTCCTTTGTTCGATAAGTAAGGTCATGGTTCATTTAGAGACAAGGGAAGCTTACCAAAATATGCCTGAACTATTTAACATCTCATCCATTATTAAAAAATATCCACTATTCTAATTCATGAATATCTCTCGCTCCATGGGCTCTTTAAAATAAATAAATAAAAAAAAGGAAAAAAATTTATATAAGGCTGCCACCTTAAAATGTAAAATTAAAAATGCACCTCAAAAATCCGTTGGAAAACATTGTTTTAATTTTGAAAAACTTTCTAACTGATTATATTGACATCGAGATATATGAATATGAAAAAAAAAATATTTTGAGTTCTAAAAATAGTGCATCTTGCAACACATTATCTAGACCGTCTATTTTCAATATTTTCATATGTTTATAGATCTACTTTATTCTAACTATTTTTGGTGCTCAAACATTTTATAATTAGATATGAAAATAGATTTTTTGAGATAATCCTAAGAATGTTTTATACCAAAATAACATATTATGATAAAATTTGTAGGTGCGCTTTAATTGGATTGTTTAAGGTTGTAACAACCTCATAGAGACCACACCCAAAGAAAAATCACCTAGATGTTAAATAGTTCATTTCTTAGGGTTTTTTTTCCTTGATAATTTTCCTATAAAACTGTATGAATCTTTGGTCAATCAGTCTCTTGTTTTTAATGATATTTTTCGTTCCTTACTCATTCCAATCATGTTCATTTTTATTTTCTCCCAGCATTATCTAAAGGGACTTTGTATAAAACTCTCAAATCCTCTTATGTACGTGCACTTAACAAAGTTTCTCAAAACTCAATGAGGCTTTCTTTGAATAACATAAACAAGGTTTGAAATTCTCTTATGTTTCGTCTGAAATTCTCTTATGTTTCGTCTCCACTATAGGAAGGGAAGACCATTGGCGTCACAATTTGATTGGTACCCAATAGGTTGCATTGAACTAAGACCTACATGGTATAAATCTAACGGGTTTTATTATTTTATATTATTTATACCGCAATGTTTATCCTTACTCCCTATTACAACATACAAGAATTATTAGTCACCAAGTGACCCTAAGTGACCTCATGGACCCTAAGTCTATATCATTAACTAGAAGCTTGATAGCACTAATTTAGCACCCTTCACAATGGTCTGTCACAGAAACATATATGCAAGTTACACCTTCACTTCACTTCGGGTTGGTAGGAATCTCGAGACCTTCACCCTATTTGGCCTAAGGGTATCACAGATGACAGCAATGACGAATTAGTATTCTATTGCACAAACTGAATGTGGATACAAGTGATTTTTATGTTCATCGATCATCATATAAATGGCAAAAATTAAAATCTAAATGGCATACATGTACTAAAAGAGTCAACAACGATCGAGGCAAAGAAAAATAATTAGAAAATCCCAACTCCTTGACATAAGCCCTGTACTTCTTTCGAGTTGTGGGCTTAGTCCAGGGTTTGGTATGAGCTTGCTCGTGAGAACATATGCCATGACTCTTTACAAAGCATCTATGGGAGGCTAGTAAACCACATACCCTCCTACAATGCCGAACAACAAGTTATCTACTCGAATCTATGGGAGAAAGTGACACAAATGCCTGCTTCTTGTAGCACCAGGAAATGGCTTCCACCACTAGAGCAAAGAAATATCTTGATGTTGATTGTCGTTCTTCCAAGTCATTCACTGAATCAAACTTATTATATCCTCGCCACCCTAGATCATTTCTGTGAAAGATTAATAAGTAATCCATTGCTCCCTGAAGCTATCAAAGTATCCTTTTCTTGGCCGACCTGCTAATTTTCTAAACCCAGATTTCTCTGGTAAAATTTGATAGGTTTGATGACAGAACAAACATCTACAGTCACAAACATCTACAGTCACAAACTATACACAAGGCATCTTTTCTTTTTCAGCGTCCATCTGTAGACATAGATTTAGACTGAGCATATGACCCTGCTCAGTAGGAGTATTTATGTGCTTGTAGGTATTCATCCTCGACTGTTCAATTGGTAATGCAAGTCTCTTAATACAAACTAAGGATCCTCTTAGAATGACTATATGGGATCTTAACATGGAGCGTGTAATGCGTCTCACTCATATCCTTCATATCAAAATTAGAGGGTATCCACTTCTTAGTGACAATGATATTTCCTTATCATTTCATGCCATGAGGATCTCGACCGTGGTGGTTCTGCTGAATAATTGATAATCCATAAGTGTTGGGGTATATGGCCTTCAAAGGTCTTGAGAGCATATAAAAACCATGGCTGTGATGATATTGTACTCCAGCAGGAGTGTGGTCCATGTGAGACTAGAGGGGCATGTTTTGTATTGCCTGCCGACTCACCAAGGTTGGGCGGCCCAAGAATTAAGTTTGAAGTTTTTTAGCCATGGGCATGAGACACAACCGTGGAGAGTTTGCAAGGTTAGCTCTTATTAAGGTCTAAGAGATGCCCAGTGGTGGTGAGTTAGGAGGTTGCCGATCCCCTGTGCGTGGTTGTTGGAATATATGGGCAAGGCTCAAATCCTTCACATTACCACTACTCGACATGGATACATGATAATTTCCTCTATGGGATACAACTTTCAGGGGTAAGAAGTGTATATGTGCTAAAAGAGGTCTCGTACACCATTGGAAT